TTTGTTATTCTTTCCCCTCTCCGATTAATAAAGCTTCTTCTCTATCAAAAAAATATATATGGCATGAAAACCATGCACGCAACAAGCGTACATGCAAATCCACAAAGGTTCAAAAATTATAGCCCCTAGTTTCCATGTAATATGGAGAATGTGATGTCAAAAAGATTCCCATGAGCCTTGGCCAAGAGAGATGCCAAAAAAGTCATATATCTCATATATCTACACCTAATGAAAAGCGATCTTCAAAAACTCTATGGTTCCTCTCTAGCAAAATCATTGCTCCTCATCAAAGAGGTCATGCTCCCTTCCCCACTCCAAAGCCCTAGAGAGTGTAACTCAAGAAACACTCCACAAGTGGCAAACAACCTTGTCCAAAATTGCCATGCCATATCACACTACAAGAAAACACGACGGTGTGTCTCACCACAACTTCGTACAAGAAAGATTGGGTTAAAGAGCACAATTCAGCTTTATACATTTGCAACAGCTCATTTATGTTGAGCCTGTTAAGAGATGCAATACATACAAACACCTTAATTTTTATAGGAACTTGAAGTTTCCAGAACACATTCTTCTAGATATTGACTACACTAAATGCCAAAATTTGCCACTTTCATCAATTTTATTTCTCTTGTTTGGTCTCCTTAGTCCATCATGCAAAACTTATGCAAGTGCTCAAAAAAACCATGCATTTGACATGAATTTTCACTCCTTAGCACTGTCAAGCCTACTTAAGCAAACTCCATGAGCTGATTCATAGTGGTCAATCTGATATGATGAAATCCAGTATTTTGACTTGGAATATATTCATACCACAACATTATGTTTGTTTATTCAAAAAAAAAAAAAAAAAAACCTACATTGATGAAACTGGAATCCTTACATGTTTTAAAAATTAGAATAATGCTTTTGGTTCAAACTTATTCTATTCTCATTCAATTCCTATGTCCTACTTACTTCTTATATATAGTTAATTATAATTTTTCCGTTTAGTATATAATTAAATCAACTTCACCCACAATCATAAATTTATGTTCTCATCATTACAAAAAACTTAGACATGAAATTGATTTGAAATCAAAATATTATCTTCATTCAAATTTCTGTCATAATTGTACTGTTATTGTCACTTCACAGAATTAGGATTCCCAATCAAACTGAACTAAAGAATAGAAGCTTTTATTTTTTATCTCCTCCTTTCCCTACACTTGACATGCAACCAAACATAAAATGAACCCAACAGTCTCGAAGTGCATAGGAAATCTTACCTTCCAACGCTCCCAACGATTCCAATTCACAAACTCTTGCATAGACTTATCCACCTTCACGTTAGCCTCCTCCAAGTCAAAACCAGTTTCCTTCTTCACAGACTCGCGGAGTTTCAACCAGAACCGTTCCACGCCATGTCGAAAAGACGCAGCCAAGCTCGGCCAAGAAAACCCATCAACTCCACCTTGATTTGCAGAAGAATGAATTCTAAAGATGATTTTTTTGGGGGCATTTCCACGTCTGCGCCTTAAGGGTAACTGATAAGGAGTGAAAGCAAGAGGTTTTCGTCTGAGCGAGGTTGAAGAGAAAATAAATGGTGGTGGTCTGGATGAAACAACAATGTCCATTTCTGGTGTATACAACTTGAGTATTTTACTCGGGAATCTACTGCAACATGCGGAGATTCTGTGACTGTTGACTGTCACTCAACATCCAAGCAGTTCGTAGCCTATTTTGAGGGTTTTGGAGGTTTATCTGAATTCCCCGCTGCTTATAGTCTCCGGCAAGAAAATCTAACAGCTAATTCTGTATCTTTTGTAATTAGGAAAATTAAATTTTATATTTTATTCTTTTAAAAACTAGTACTTTTTTAATTAATTATATTTAATTTTAAATAAATTACAAACAAAAATACAATTTAACTCGTTTATTATACATTAAAAAATATAGTAGAATATAAAAATATAATTGAAAATTTTATGCGTGAATTTTTTAAAAAAATAATAATTTTTAAATATGAAACTAGAATTAGCGTGTTGGTATGTTTATCATATTACACAATTAATAAGCGTTTAAATCTTTTTTAATTAATTTAAATATATTTATTTATTTAAATTTTTAAAATATAAAAATAAAAGTTAAGTAATATTCAAAATCTTTAAAATACAAAAATATAATCAATGTGATAGTACATATAATAGTATAGAGATCAAAATATTATAAATTTCTCTAAATATATTATTTAATTAGTTAATAAAAATATTAATTAAATAATAATTAATTAATTAATAAGACAAATTTATTATTTAATCGGGCCCAATTCACATAGGTGGATCAAGCCTAATTATGTTAATAAATTTAATTTTTATAAAATTTTAATTAAATAGTGGGTTCAAGAAGATACGAACACCATTCAATTTATTGTACAATTTTTTAAAGTCCAACCACTTATAATTCCTATAAATAGAGGTCTATATCAACATGTAAAAAGAGTTCTCAAAAGCAACCAAAAATTAAAGGAAATCATCAAAGCAAGAGCAAGTTTTATCCTTCACTAAGTTTCCTTTCCAAGAGCAAGAACAAGAGAGCAAAGGAAGAGACACTCCTATAACAAAACCTCCAAGAAAACAAATGATCTCCATAACCATTGAAATTTTAGTTAAACTATTATTGGACTGAAACATTGATTGTAACATATATATATATATAATTATGTTTGATAATTGTTCCACTAAAAATGTCGTGTTTGATATTTTTATAAAAAACAATTCATAAAAGTTCTCTTATTTTTTGTGATAGATTTTTCTATATGTGAGATTATATCATCTATTAAATTCGATAGTCAGTGATGGTTTAAATGTCATTAAGGAGGGGATTAGTAAAATTAATAAAAGTGCTTCATATTGAATAACGTCATAAAAAAATAAAAATTTTAAATAGCAGCTTGATAATTAAATATTTTATGTAGAAAATAATTATCTCTTGATTATAAAACTATGTGAAATTCTACTTACTTGATGCTTAGCACTGCATTAGCCTATAAGGAAGTATTTTATGGATTCCAACAATATGAACAAAGTTAGAACATTTTGCATAATGAGGATGAATGTAAATTAGCTGAAATTATTTGTCCATACTTGAAAGTTTCTATATTGTGATCAAGTTGTTTATAAAAATAAATATATTACCACTAATTTTTATTTTCAAAAGTGTGTGAGATTATAATGACTTTATCTCGATGACTTTTGAGTTCAAATAAAATGATAAAAGAACTAACAACAATAATGTTCGAAAAATATAAAAAGCATTAGAATGTCATTCATGGCACAATACACGGGAATGCTGTTTTAGACCTTAGGTTCAAGTTAGTTTTGTTGCATTATTACTTTTCTTTAATTCGTGATAAAATTTTATTAATAAGAAAATTCAAAAAGTTCACAGATTTTATTTTTACTTAATACGTGAGTGCGAATCAAAAGTTAGTCGTGAATCTCGTGAAAGCAGTTTGAGTGTTGGAGAAGTTGATTATGGGGTCTTCTACTAATATAGCAAGTTCTATTGATCATTTGCAATTGAATCTTTTAAGCAATTATGATAAATATGTTAAATAATTTGTCAAGGTGCAAGTGTGAAATCAAAATCAAATTGTTACTTGGAATAAGAAATGTTACTAAAAAATTCAAAGTTTTAATATTTTAAATTGGTAAAGTTAAATGAAGCTCAATTTTCTATTATACAATTGATTGCAATATATTTATGTTATTCGCTAATGCCTGCGTGTGAGTATGCCTTAAGCACTAATGATTGAGTGGTTAGCCCAGAGTGCACTAGACTTCATGCAAACACATTAGAAGTATTGATGTGCTTTCAAAAATGGTTGTCAAATAATTTGAAGTTGAAAATCAAGGTAATAAGCCCATTATTTATTCGTTACTTAGTAACTTAATTTTAATAAATATATAAAGACTAATTAACTTTATTTTGTTATTTGTAATTTATATAAGTCCTTAGATTATGACTAGCCCAAATAACTAAAAAGGAAGCAGACATTGAAGAAAAGAGCTAATATTCATGCTAGAAATATATTATATTCTAAGTATTTACGGTGTTTTTATTATCTTATAACATTATTTATTAATATAACTTATTTTTAACCTTTCATGAGTAGAATATATATTCAAGATGATGACTACATTATAATTTTGTTTGCTTCAATCTTGGATATATATAGATGATATATTAAGCTAATTGAAATATAGAGAGATAATTTTTAGATGAATATGATGAATCATTTGTCCAAATTATGTGTTCTATGGAGTTCACTTTGATAATTATCACTTAGTTTGCTAAAGTGTTGTGAATTATAATGTATATAATTAATTAAGTTAATGAATACGTTAATTAGATTAAATATATAACTTTTTTGTTTTTACATGGTATTTTATTTTTATTATCATTTAATACTTTTTTATTTTAACTTTAACTTTTATTTAATGTTTTATAACATTATTTGGAATAAAAACATATAAATGGGGTACATTTTTGAATTAAGAAACATTTGAAGCTTTAAGAGGGAGGAGTGCTGGACCAAGTTATTTAGAGTATAAGAAGGGGATTTAAGTGTTATATATCAAGGGTATTATTGTAATAAATTCTTGATTTTATATTATATGTATAGCCTTAATTTTGGTATTAGGCATGAGGTTAGATAATAAAAAAATAAAATTTTAACTTAATATATGCATGTATGTTTATAAAATTAATTCAAATATTTATTCATTTATCTGTATTAGCTATTTTCGAATATTTACGTGATTAAACGAATTATATAAAATAATTAATTTTCTTTAAAGTTAATATAACAAATTATATAAAATAACGAGTAATTATTTAAATTATTAAAAAATAACCGCTTTAAATAATTACATTTTGAAACAAAATAATAAATTAAATTAAATACATTGTAATAATCTTTTAATCATGTTTTAAAATAAAATAACATATTAAATTAAATATATTTTAATATAACTATATTTAAACAAACAAAAAGTATTCACAAGGAAGACTAGTAATAATAAAAAAAACCTAAAACACAATTTCTAATATAACATCTATTTTCTATTATTCAAAAAATTTACCTTTATTTACTCTCAGCTAACATCATAATTTTGTACCTATTATTTATTTTTTTAATTTTATTTTTTGACTTAATTTTTATTAAATCAGTCTATTTATTTTAAAAATATTTTAATTTAATATACCTTTAGTATTAATTATTCACAATTAATTTAGATGTCATGTATTAAATTTATCGACATGTTATAATTTTTTATTAATCCGATTTAAATTTTTTTTTGTCACGTGACAATTAATATAATGTTAGAAAAATTTGTATATTGATCAATTTAGACAGATAAAAATGAAATATATTATAAACATGCATGACCCACCGTCTCACGCTACGAGGAAATCATTATTTATAATTCTGCTTCTTATCCAACTTAAACAGGGTAGAAATGTTTGACACAAAAAGGCCCATGTAAACTCGGGTAATTTAAATTGCCGTAACAAAACGCAATTTTGTTAGAGAATGAGAACATATTTCTCATATTTGACAACAAGATTAAGGACACTTAGGAGAGTGGACTCATGGTGGGACTCAAGCGAATTTAGTTGGAGCATCAAGATAAGTGGTTGGTATCAAGACCCGACTTTGACATATAATTCACCGGAACCTTAATTTAGAAAAAATATTAAAATTTGAATGATTTTTAGAGTAATTTTGTATAATTAACATATTAAAGGCAGAGTTTGAAATTAAATAAAACTATAAGACGTAATTGGAATTTCAGAAAAGAAAAGAAGATTTCTGGAAAGAGAAAAGATAGGGTATCGGGGAGAGAGAGAATAAGAGTTTGAGAGAGAGATTGTGTCGGGGGAAGAGAAAAGAAGAGAGTTTGAGAGAGAGAGAGAGAGAGAGAAGAGTCTTTAGAGAGAGAGAATATAGAGATGGAAAAGAAACAGTATATATCTTAGGATAAACAAAAGAAATTTATTTGAGATTCATTTTCAAAAGATTATATATCTTTGGTATGATTTATAACTAATATTTATAGACATGAAAGTGACATGGGAGGGTATTGAAAAGATCATTTTGACTCCCAGAATCTCAATCCAATGCATGCAATATCAAAACTTAACTGTTTAATAAAATTTCTCCTCTAATTGAATCTACAATCTCTAAAAGAATGCAAAAATAAAAACTAAAAAAATAAAAACGAGAAAAAGAAAGACGCCACTGACTCACTCGATAAGTCGATCCCAACTCCTTAGCTCAATCAAAACTTTGGAAAGCTCTCATAGCTTTGAAGAACTTAAAGAGAAAAATTAGCACAAAGCTAATTTAAAGAAAAACTCAAAGCTTTAATTTATTAATTCTCAAATTGTTGTTGTTTACAATGCTTGAGCTAAATCCTTTATATAGACTTTTAATTACTACTTCTATTTGGAATAGGACTTAGGATTCTTATCCAAACTCTATGAATTAATTAGAAAATAACATATTTAAATAATAAAAGATTCTAATTCTTATCATAGAATTAATTTAAATAATTAAATTAATCTAATCCTAAATTGAATAGGAATAAGAAAACAACAGATAATTAATTAAAAATAAAAGTCATCTCTATAGACGAATTCACTCGCCTCTTTGGGTTTTGGACTTCTAGTTGATTTCAGCTTCTAACTTTTTTTTTTCTTTAATGAACTTTCTTGAATTATATGTGAATAAGACTTGTTG